CAGATTATATTTATATGATAATTTTTCTTTAAACCCATCTCTATCTAAGTGAGTGAGTGATTAAATGTTGAATGTGATGAGTTTTCAACAATACTAAATTGAAACTTAATTTTTTTACATGGTTTAATATTTTTTTGTTATTAAAATTGAAGTTCCTGTTTTAAAGCTTACAGATAGATGGCTAATTTGTATGTCATTGACACTTTTGGCACTTTTTTGGAGTATTTTCATAAGTTTTGTTTTTTCCTGTAAATTATTCAATAAATACCGTACCGTGACATTCATACCGAGGTATTACCCAACCGTGAAATTCTGATACCGTTACATCCCTAGTGTTTACATGTCTGTACTGCACTTCAATAATGCGGCTAAAATAGGAATGCTCCACATGCCTAAATTCGATTTCTGTTTAGTTTGATTATAACTTAAGTTAGATTAAGGTAATCAAAAATCACTGTTTACATAGTAGACTCGTAATCAGAGCATTGTCTTTTTCATATTAAAATTTCATATTAGGCTTAGGGAAAAAAAACTTTTTAATATGGAAAAGATAGCTTTCATCATTTTTTGCAGTGTCTCATTGTGGGTAGTTAGGACATGCAATTTAAGTGGTAAATTTGTAAAACATTAAAAAACTAATTTGTTAAGCCCTGTGATTTATGTGATGTGGAAAACACAGACAAAATAGTAGAATCCAGACAGGAAATCTTAATTAGGACTGTTGAGGATGTCCTTAAACACCATTATTGTGCTCACATGCGCAACAGAAATAACTGTGATTGCTCTGAAGGCCATTGCTTTTTGAAAGTGTTTGAAAGCTGCGTCTATTAGCTGATCTCTCAGCAGATCCCTTATATGTCTGCTCATTGATGGATTAGCTGATGGATTTTCAAACCCTCAAGTGCCTGTGTATATGTGCTAGTGCTGGGTAAACAGCAGTGAAGAGTGGTAAATCGACAACCTTTAGTCCTATTTGTTGATAATATGAACACAATGGCCAGTGAGTGGTGTTTAAGAACTACTCAACAGCGCTTACGTTAATGAGAAATAAATTATTTACTTTAATTTATTTAGTACCAATTGGTATCAAAATACTTTTGACAAGACTAACACTGACTAGTTTCTAAATATTGAACTGCAAACACACTTTTTAAATATACTGTAGAGTGATTTTGTGTATGTGTGAATGAATGGTGTGGTTTGGTTTCCCGGAGCAACCTTGACAGATGCTTGCCCATGGTGTACAGCTTTATTTGAGAAAAACTTCAAACAAAAACAAAACTGCTCATTTATGACATGTACATCGAATGAGGCAGCCAACACATGCCTTAAATATATCCATTTCTTTTAACTTTCAACAATGTCTTAGAAGCACCAGCCTAAACACCCTGTGGTGGCGAGCACATTTGCACCCAAACAAAATCCTGTTTCTGCATAGGCTGGCAGTCTGCATGCTGAGAACTGGATAAAATGCCATAACCCAGTGCAAGCAGCAAACCGAAATACAACCTCATGATGAATGTTATGTCATTGCGTCATACAATGAACCCCGATGAGCACCGGACTGTATGACCACAACAGCCCTCAGCAAAACATTCCAGAAGACTCACATTCCCGACACAGCGACCTTATCCCAGCCAGAGCACAAGAAATCTGAATCCTTAACAAGGATACTGTTACTATTCCTATAGCAGAGTGAAAAAAAAAAACCCTGTTGCACAACAAACAGACAAGCAGTGAAAGGATAAAATCCAGCGCCATTGAAAAGGACAAATGTTTACACTGAGATTTCCGACGCTACGCAAACAGTATGCATGGCCACATTTTTAAAGAAATGGTATGTTTCTAAATTCCTACTCATCATAACAGCAGCACTCGGTCTTTGAAACTTGATGTTGTAAAGTAATTTTACAACTTTTACTGGAACAACTGCTGAAGTCTAAGAGTCTAAGTTGAACATCTTATTATTTAAACCAGCAAATAAACAAAGACTTTGCACTATTTATAGATCACTAATTCAATACAAATGTGATGGCAGTTTGAATGTTTCCAAGAGAACATCAAAAAACGATCTTATGAAAAACCTTAAAATCTTTAACACCTAAAAAGTCGCTGGACTTTTTGACATTCTCTTGTTGATGCCAACAAAGCAGATATTACAACACCCTTACAAAAAAAACACCTTACAAAAATCCAAAGGCAGCTGTATGTTTTTATGCATTGGCTGTTTCATGAGGAAAATGTTACGTGTGATATAAATCCCTCCGTAATGAAACACCTTGCTTTAATGTTGCCAAGGAACTTAGGCCAATGAATACAATTAGAGCCTTAGATTTAGAGGCCTTTAACATAAACAATGAGATACCTATTCATATTTGTTATTAATATCATGATTTCCAGATAATATTTTTTAATCAGAATGAAAACATAATATATTTGGTAGAATAAAAGTTCATATTAAAAGTCAGTAGTGTTTGTTAGATTTCCCCCAAAGCACCACTTAGACCACTGACCAGATTATCCTAATTATTTTTTTCCAAAATGACTCAATTGGTCCGAAATTGACAACACAATGTTGTTAGAGGTCAGTTTATCCCACATTGAAAACTCTGTCATCACTCTCATAAACTCAAACAACAAATATCTCTTCTTTCTCTTATCACTACATAAATAAAACTTTGAAGGATGCATAAATATTTATAGTTTTAATTCACATATGAAAACTGCCTTGAAGTTGACACAAAAAACAAACCTTGAGGCTTTTTCATCAAGCATGCATGTTTGTGCTGCATTCGTCAGTGTTTACATAAGAATAAAAACTTCATTGAAAAACGTCCTCATATACGGTGAATATATCTTTTTAGAACACTTGTATTAAACAGCAAAATTCGTATTACTGTTGTAATACATATTACCTTGCAAATGTTGTTTATATCAATACAAAAAATAAAAACTAAAAGTCTGTGCAAAAAATTATTGATTTCAAAGGAAATTTCTAAGAATTTTTTTTAAATTGACAAATTATGACAGAATTACCCAGCAGCCACACAACGTCATAAGATGTTAATATTAGGTTAGATTTAGGTCAGCAGCATCTAAGGACAATGTTATTTTAACGTCCTATAATGATGTGAATGATGTTGATATTTGATTGATTTTAATGTTGTGTCGGAAACTGACCAATATCTAATGTTGAGCCAACATCTTATACCAGCGTCAAAGTAACATCAAATATTGACATTTATTCCATCAGGTATGACAACTGAAATCCAACGTCATATTGGTAACATCCACACAACGTCAAGCTATAACATCATTAGATGTTGATATTTTGTTTGTTTTTTAGTTGCATTGGAAAGTAACCAAAAGGCAATTTCTGTTCGACGTTGGACATTGACGTCAACCTAATTTTCATTTCCAATCAAAATGCTAAGTCCCACGATATTGGGGTACAAAATCAATCTGACGTCATGTTGACATCTGCTTGCTGAGTAATTACTATTCTTATCCTTTTTAATTAAAAATAATTATGAAATATATTATATTATTAAAGAATAAATGTCAAACAATTTTACTAATCCCTTTCCTTTTGTATTTAGAAGATGAGATGCAAACCTACACACCACACGTTTTGCTGAACAATAGAGACAGCTCAATCGTACAAGCAGCATTAATTTAATATACATTTTTTAAAAATCAGACTGTTAATAACATTTATGAATTCATCTCCCAGTCTACTGTGAGCTTATAAACAGTGCAGTAATGAGAGGAAAAATTATCCCATGAAGCAAAATCACACCCTACATCTCTTGTGTATAACAGAGAACGGGCTAGGGATGCAACTCGGTGGAAATGACGTCTTGTAATTTACAAACACACTAACCAGAACACAAAACAAACAAGCCACCGCTACCATTTCATCTGAAACCAATATTGCCTTGCAGAAATGTGGCAAAGACTTTGAAGTAATAACAATTCCCAGAGCTGCTCTCAGAGTGCGCTTTCTACATCACAACCATATACGACAGCTAGAGCTCACAAACGCCTTTACAGTGGAGGGTTTTATGTTGGTACTCAATATAACGGGCTATTGTAGTTTTCTCCACGGTTATGAAGACCGGCGTATGTGAGCATGTCTGCCCCTAGAGCTGCCGGTGCCTGCCGCAGAACGGGCGTCATGAAACCGGGCTGGAGTCTCGCCACTGCGACGCGCACCTAAAGCAACAGCGATAACGCGCACACACATATATATATATATATGGGCCTACGGATATACACACACACACACATACACACTATTATGATGATTCTATAAATGCACATGCTGGTGCTTTAAACTGGGCATACGGGCGCGTTTGCTTCAGTCGTGTGATTATCGATTCCCGCTGCTTTGACTTTTCCATTGGCCTGGCCTTGAACAGGGGGCTGGAGCCTGCCATAAAACCTGCGAGGGGAGAGGCGAGGCGCGTACCAATAACCATGGCCAAAAACATGGTTCGTAAATCGTTCTTATTTAATATTTTATAACCTAATGTTCAAGTGACATTACATGTGAAAGAGACGAATCGAAAGGGAAACCTGAGCAAACAGTTATGTCAGGGGATATTGAGAAGGAGGGCTGCGACCACACGTACGACCCCCGTTTACACCATTCCATCGCAACTGAAGCCAACAGAACAGAACAGCACGAAATGCGCGTCAAAATCGTTACAGCGTTTCCAGGCGTATCGTGCATGTTGCTGTAGCAATGCTTGAACGTTCATTCGACTAATTGTAAGCATAATATTGGGAACAGTTAGTTGTAAGCCCGTCTTCCGAGGCGCCTATCCGCCTTCTGCTATCGCTGTTTGGGCGAAGCACGTCCACAACTTCGCATTGCAAAACCAATAAAACTTGTCGTCATAAAAAAGTGGCAAACGGCGCGAATTAAACAGTCACGGATCACAAATTCTGATGCTCTTAAGTTTAGGTTTAATATTTTGCCGTAATACATCACTCACCTCAGATGTCAGCACCCTCTCCCGTTCTCCTCTTTTTCTGGTTTACCTCTCGTCCGTTCTCCTCCTCTAGCGATGTACGATTCGCGAACGAGTCGTTCATTTGAATCGAATCTTTTCAGTGAATTGGTTGGCAAAAATGATTCGTTCCTTACATCTCTACTGATGATGATGATGATGATGATGATTATTATTATTATTATTATTATTATTATGACATTTATGTGTTGCAAATAACAGCAACACATATACTATGGCATGTGAATTGTAATAAAATGTTAATTAAAAGCAATGATTTTAATAATAATTCAACAATTACAAGCAAGCCCAAATAAACGAACCAAAATATATGTCTATCATAAAATTATTGGTAATTGTTTGGAAAGAGTTTTGAAAATATAAATGATCTAGGCTGCATTTATTGTACATGTAATAACCTTTGTAGAATTCTGAAAAGGTATAGTAATCAAGTAATTATACATTTTATTTAAAATATTTTAGTTACCAAAAACAAATCTATAAAGTTTGGAATAAATTACAATATTTCTATATTTCTGAAATAAAATAAATCATATTAAAAAAAGAATTGCACTATAAAAAAACTAACAAGCTAACAAGTAACATTTACATTAAGTTACATTTAGTTTAAATGAATATTAAGAAACCAAAAAGTTACATATCATACTTAATATGAAAATGATATTTAATTATATAAAATACACTTTTACACAAAGATTGCACTCTTTGAAATAAACCCAGTACCAAAATAAATAGGTAACTATTTCTTCAAAGTGAGGAGATAAGCAGCACGTGTATGAAATATGTTGCACTTTTACAGTTACTAGAAGCCTGAGGCGGTATATATCTTGGCATCTAATCTACATTTAATGTAAGACTGATTACATTTTTGAAGATTTTTTTAAACAATTATGAAAAAGTGTATATTTTATTAAATTAAATACGTACGTCCATGGCTAAATACAAAAGGTTAAATTCATTACAATAAACACAATACCAAAATAAGCAACTGTTTTCTTCTAAATGAACAGATAAGCAGCACGTCGACCCATTCTTTTATAAATAGGCTACTTTGCTTGTAGAGTTAGAGGAAGCCATTTACTTCCACATATAACTTCATACTATTACCTGAAGTAAAATATCTGCTGAATCGTTTAAACCTACTCAAGTAGTTCGAAAGAATCGTTTCAAAGAAATGAATCGGACTTCCCATCACTACTCCCCTCCCTTCCAGATGTCGAGCGCAGTCAGCCTTCCAATCCGCGTCTCTCCGGAAGGCCGCGGACCAATCGGCCAGCGGAGCACAGGAAACACATTCCCGGAGAGAAGAGGCAGCACAACCAAAAGTTTGCCGAATGAGAGTCAGTAAGAGAACCGTGCTCAAATAAGGCAGGAATCAACTGCAGCAAATGTAGCCCACACAGACACCTGTTACTTAAAGCGATCATTTAAACATGTCATTTATTTAACGTTAACCTACCCAATAAAAGTTGTTGTTTTTTTTAGCTGAAATCTTTGTTATTATAAAGAAAAAAAGAATAATAACATAAAACACATACAGGCAAAATAAAATGTAATCATGTGTCAAAGTGAGACAATTCGGCCTGTCCAACACAGCCTCTACAAACGGTGTTGAGCGCGTTCACTCAATACATAGACAAACTCGCACGTAAAACTGACACTGTTTGTTTACCAAAAAACAAATGAATATTTATGTTGTAGTGTTTACAAATAGATCCTTTGATTTTTAGAAATTGCAAAGTCACAAAACATTCAAAAGCAGTTATTGTACTATTCTATTCTATTCTATTGTACATATCTACCGTACATATGCATCTGTAATTATGTTCATATCTATCTGCATACCTTTCATTATTAATAGCAAACTGCATATATATATTTATATATATATATATATATATATATATATATATATATATATATATATATATATATATATATATATATATATATTCATAGTACATCATTCTGTAATTATCACCATAGTTTTTCTATAATTGCACTTTATAACTTATACCTTTATCCTTTATCCAATATTGCTGCTTTTGCACTCCTGGTTAGACCTAAACTGCATTTCTGTCACCGGATGTCAAGGGAGCGAAGACAAGATCCAAATGCAATTTTTAATGAAAAAGATTATTCGTGCAGGCGAAAACAAATGAGGTCAAAAAACAAGAACTCAGGTATCATGAAGGGCAAAAATGCAAAAACAAAGCAATGATCAAAGTACAAAAAGTTACAAAACAATCATCAAAACATAACTAGAAAAACTAAACAGGACGACACTCACTGAAACCATACAGGTACTGACAAACAAAGATTCCGGATAGACTGGTGTGTGCAATGTGTATAAATAGTCCAAACAATTGATGATGACGATATTCAGCTGTGTGTGATTAATGGTGACTGGTTTGTGCAAAGGCATGCTGGGATATGTAGTACATGAATGACATGTGTAGTATGCCAGCGATCTTTCAGGAACAGATTGCTGGTTATGTGACACATTTCACTGCCTTGTACATGTGTATAGTCAAATATAATATTATACTATATAATTGTATGTACATTGTTATACAAATAAAAATGAAGCCTCACTTGCCATTGGCCTTGATTGTACGTACCACTGACTCGAAGTAAATATTCGTAGATGTTTCAAACTGAAACAAGCCTTAAAAGTGATCATCACTACACAATGTCAAAGAGCCAAGAGGTTTTTGTCTGTTTTATTTTTTAAATCATGTTATTACGTTATAACGCATGTATAACTTGCGTTTATTCAGCAAGGACCAGTTTCAGCTTTACATCTTGAATGTTCTACTGAAGAACTAAAAACTCCCCTACATCTAACTTGATAGTAAACAACAATTTTTATTTGTTGTAACAAACTACTATCCTTTTAAAATCGATTTATATAGCTATTGTGAAAAGCTTTAAAAAGATTTTTGGTTAATTTAATTTAGCATGTAGTAGATCTGACTAATTAATGAGTGGATTTCAGCAAAAGTTAGATGAGTTAGGGTCATGGAACTAGCAGCTGTCCAGTGTCTAGACTCTTATATTACACCGTTACATCATTTTACTCAGGAGGAGAACAAGAAAATTTGTTGCTATGCATGTTAAACAAGATAGCCACTAACCATCTGTGCTCTCCAATGTCTTTGACTGTGTGTGTGTTTATGTGTGTGTGTGGGATGGGGGAGGGTGCAGACTTTTGGTGTGATCTCTGACCCAACAGACTACAGCAGGCAGTTCATTTGACACTCCGGGGTAAATTGAATTCCTCAGGCCTCCACCCTGCTCGCTCTGAACTAGTGTATTTGTGTTTTACATCAGAGCTGTATCTTTTTGTAATGGGTTTAGTTGAATTTGACTTAGTTCACACCTTTATTTTGTGCTTGTGTTTGGTTGTAGGGAGTATATTGGTTCAACCTATTCCATGCAAGAGAATCTTTTGAAGGTGTTGCATGAAGAATCTGCAAAAACAACAGACGGCATATGTGTCCTGAAAGCACACGCTCAGACATGCTGTCCCAAGTGACCCAGAGGTCAAAATCCACTCCTCAAAGTAGCACCATGCCAAGAACAGAGAGAGAGAGAGAGAGAGAGAGAGAGAGAGAGAGCTGTATTTCCTGGTGAGTGGAACAAAAGAAATCAAACAGAGATTTCAAGGGATAGTTCACCCAAAATTTAAACTCTGTCATAATTTACTTCCCTTCCCCCTGTTCCAAACCTGTCTGAGTTTATTTTTAAGTTGAACAAAAATTAAGATATTATTGAATTATTACAAATGATTAAAATAATATAACGGAAGCCATCAACTTAGTATTTGTTTCTACTAGGCATGTCAGTGGCTATGGGTTTCTGACTTTCTTCAGAATATTTTATTTTGTATCCAACAACAACAAAAAACTCAGTTAATTTTCATTTTGGAGTGAACTATCCCTTTCAATTACTTAAATGTACATCACTGTTAGTCATGGCATGGATAGAGGGGACTTGTCCCCACCAATTTCTACCAACTACTGAAATGTCCCCACTAATAATTTAATAAACTTCAAAATAAAATAATAATGCTCCGTCAACCCTAAGTAGCCTACTTGTGCACAAAAGGTTAAAGTCAAGTGTGGTATGAGTTCACTATACTACTGTATACCAAAGCTGTGCAATTAATTGAAATTCAGTTCTGATTTTGGCCTCCATGATTATGCAAAACAATAATCAGGACAAAACAGTTTAATTGCATCACACATCTCTTTAAATTTCTCTATACCTTCTCAAAGCCAGATTGCAGCACTCCTGAATAAATATATTGAATTAAAAAACCTTTCTGATCTTAAATGTTTGGACAGTAATGTTGATAATTTCTTGTTTTAGTTTTAGCCTGCATATTGATCTAGTAACCTAAAGACTTGAATGACAAAACTATGAGAAATTATAGATTTTCACCACCTAATGAAATTTATAAAAAATAAAATACATTTAAAAAAAAAATATTATATATTATATATATATATATATATATATATATATATATATATATATATATATATATATATATATATATATATATATACACACACACACACACACATATGTTTATGTTATATTTATATATATATATATATATATATTTTTTTTTTTCATATGAGCTGGCACAGCCATTGTAACCAAATTGTGTTGAGACTTCCAGTCTTATTCACTTTAAGATTCTGTTGGTAAGATAACCTTGGCTACAAATATCACGGTATTGTGGTAACTGCTCTAAAATAAGTTCTTTCTAAATGTCTGGGTAAAAAGTAGGTTAAAAAATTTTAAATTAGGTTATCTCTCCCCAACACCCCCCCCCCCCATTGAACACAATATATTTTATTAAATATATTATGTATTAATTTAAAGAAACATTTAAAATATTTTGGACCACTAGTTTTTGGTGTAGATGTTCATTTTCTGCTGGAGACACTGATGCCCTAAAAACTAAATAAAAAAGTATACATAATAACGGTATAACAGAAAACTTGAGCGATTTTAAAACCTTGACTTTTT